TGTAAATATCATTGGTTTTGATGTGCACCTACAAACTATTATTATTTTTGTGATAAAAATCTATGTGAAAATTTTGCATTTTGTATTTTTGTTCACATATATTTGAAAATGGATTGTTTACTTGCACATACAACTATTGTCCGTACTCAAACATAAACGCATGCCATTACATTTGGTTGTGAGTCTTGTTTATTTTGTTGTGGAAACTAATGTTTGATAATTGTCATTGATTCTTTGTAACATACATTATTTGTTTGTATCAAAATATTGTGAGTATGTACCATCGTACTAGGATATAACTATTTGAGTTGATTGAGAGCCTATTTAATAACATTGGAATTGACTGAATTGACATGTTTTGTTGAAATTTATAAAGTTTTGACTGAAAAAATTGGTTTGGTTGATTGTGGTGATTTATGAAAAAATCATATTTTATTAAGAAAATAAAACAAAAAATATTTGAAAAATAACGAAAATGTTCACTTTACAATAATTCAGTTAATTTAGTCAGAAAAGTAATTTTAACCTTACTATTTTTTTATTATGCAATTCAACACATAATTTCAGCTAACGAGATGGATAAATTGAAAAATAGATTCAATAGGTTCTTAACGGGTACAATTTAAGCTTTTGTGAACACGAATAAGGTTTGATAAAGAAACAAAGAAATTCCAGCATCTACTCTAGTTGGCAAGAACAAAACAGTACACGTGAAGAAAGGTTTACAAGTCTTGTATAGACTTTTGACAGCTCAATCCAACCAGCACATGCGACGTGTTCATCCTCCCCCTCTTACGGCGCCGTAACCGTAAAACATTGCGAAACTTCCTCAGATCACATTTGCTTTTCTTTTTTAAATTTTTTCTTTTCTGACTTTTATTATCGATTACGCCGTTAGCTCAACGGCTCCCATCGAACTCCCACTTCTGTATCTCACGCGCTTGCCCTCCCCCCTATAAATACAACCTCCTCCGCTCCCAATTTCTCACCGGAAACCTAAACCATCAGATCTAATCAATTTCTCACAGTCGTTTCAGAAAAGCAGAAAAACCGTTCTTCACCCTTCAAAAATGGCACAGTTTAGCTTTGTGAAGGCGCTCCTATTCGCCGCCGTGCTCTCCGTCTTCGCTGCCATTGCTACGGCCCAGTTTTCTCCCACCGATTCTCCAGCAGCATCACCTCAAGCTGGTGGCGCTTTAGATTTGCCGATCTGCACCGCCGTGATCGGAGGATCTCTCCTGCTGTCTGTCGCTGCTCTTCTCAGGCACTGAGTTTACTGTTTACCTATCTATTTCCGTGCTTTTTCTTATAATACTCCTCCATCTGGTTTATATATGTTACGGATGTAATCTACGCGGTGTTTATTGGTACGTTTCATCGGTGTGATGAGTACTGCTTTGTTTCCAGTGATGTCTTTGAGACGATTCTTTAGCGGCGATGTATATTACGGAGTACCATTATTATTATTATCATTATATATAAATTGATACTCCGTATTTATTATATATATGTGATGACATTGGTGTTTTTTGTATACGTTCTGATGATGATATATACGGTTTATGTGTGATACTGTGCGATTCGAGCTCTGTAGTTTTTCAGTCAAGTTATCGATTTGTGATGGTATCGGATTCGTGTTTTTGTTTATGCGGATTACAGTGCCTTTTCTTCCTTGATTGATAAACGCCAGATGTAAGATCATATTATCTCAAGCAAAATTTTATTACCCTAATGATTGTCCAGATCTCACAAATAAACAACAGTCTTTGTCATTCAACTACTTTTTCCCAAACCTTTTGTTTTGTGACACAAGTCCTGGATGGAATAAACCAATGAACGATAATATTTTTGAACTTATATGAAAGTACCGAAATAATTTTGATGGTGGCCGGTTCAGTTCTTGTTAGGATGAATATACATGCTAGCTGTTGTTACACGGTCATCAAGTCAAAACGGAAGATTTGTAGTACAGGAATGTTAAAGAATCTTTAAGGCAACGCGGATCATTATACGGAGTAATTCATAAACAGACCAGCGTAATAGTAGTCATAATACGGCGGCACATGGGAGTTGACATGTGTAAGGTGTGGCACATTGTTGCAAACATGGTGACTTGGTCATTAAATGCAGCAGCGATGAGTACAAACAAAACTACTTGGCTCACATATATTTCTTTCCCCCATGTGTTGAGCATTGTCAAAATTAACCGATTCACGAAAACCCAACTGTGTCAAACGGAGTCCATTAGACGCGTTTGGGGAACGCCAATCTTGATCACGATTCAATTTCAAATATCACAAATCAGGAATGGAAGGAATAAAAATATTTCACACAAAGGAAGTTTTTAACTGAATTGGTTTTTTACGAAAGATAGATATATAATTAACTGTAAAAAATATATACAACATCCAAAGAGTATACCTTCGTAAGCTTAAGCATCACAAAAAACAAACATTGCTTAAGCATTAAATCAAAGAGTTTAAACATTACATATTTACATCCTAGGTGTACAAGCCAAAAACTTCCACAGATTTTCTCACTAGACACCCCCAAACCAGCAAACCAGTGGGCTAGGAATAGAAAAATGATTGAGGTCTCCAAAGTGAGCATTCTAGATAGATATTCCGGGCACAACACAAAAAGCATAGGTGACATTGGATCCCTTTGTCTGAGTACTCCTCCCTCTAAAGAAACCATAAAGAACTCCATTGATTCACACAAAGATAGGTGTTGAGATGCATTCCCAGATCCAGCCCATAAGTTAAGGTGGGCACCCAAATTCAACCAAGACCTCTTTATGTGTCATATGTTTCCTTAGGTCAATCTTTATGAGGCATCTAGGTGAAATCATTTTCCTAGAATATCCTCTTACCAACTCTTGAGTCAACAAAATGTTATTCATAATATCCCTACCCTCCACAAAGGCAATTTGAGCTTGGTTAACTAGATCAGCCAATAAAGGTTTCATCTTGTGAGAGAGAATCTTGGTTATGGTTTTGCAGATCACATTAGTGCAACAGACGGGTCTAAAGTCAACAACAGATGGGTTGTGTGAACTCTTATGATGTGTTTGGAAGTTGGGTTTTGGAGGAAAGGGGAAGGTTGATGGGGGTTTATGACCTCCTTTTCATGATTGGAAGTTAAAAAAATGGAGGGGTGGTTTTGGAGGGCTTTCATAACACTCCAAAACCCTCTACATGCTCAATTTTTAAGTTCCCCGATTTGAAGGGTTTTGAAGGATAATTAACGAAATGATAATTTAAGTTTCATTAAAAATGAATATCAGTTCAACTATTTGAATGTACACTTTTAAAAATCTAAAAAAGTCTAAGTGTATTCAATGTAAACATTTAAAATGCTAAAAAGTTTTTCAATATAGACGTATTCAAACTTACATTCATTTTAATAGACTTTTAAAACCATGATTCTCATGGACTTTTTCAACTCATTCGTAGTACATTAATTCTCCGCTCATTACATGTATGAATAGATTTGGTTCCAACTATTGTATTGACTAATTCTTTATACGGGATCATGAACCGGCCACCCGGTCTTGGATTAGTACCGGGTCTGGAGGTTGGTATCAAGGTGATGTCGAAATGCAAGGTTTTCAAATTAAAATTTTATTTTTATCATTATTAAAATTTTATTTGTATCAATACTAAAAACACGCTGAATTTAAATAAAAATTAAAAAGTGGTTTATATATATCATTTTACAAATAAAAATGTATGGATGAGATATGTTTGGTTCTTGGTGAAAAAATTAAGAACCATTTGAAAAATCGTTGATCCAATATCGTTTCAATTCTACATTTTTTTTGAATAATCAATATAGAAGGCAATAGTATCATATCAGTGCAATTTTTGTATGTTATCAGTTAATCATTAAGAAATAACAATATATTTAATCATTTTTTTCACTATGTCTAGATTGCATGAATTGTATAGTCCATCTACTGCTACGAGTATGTTTGTTCATCAACGATGTGCATGTCATATTTTAAATTTATGTCTAAGACAGATTAGTCGCATTGAGCAATGTAATGGGAAATATTGAAAATCATATTAAAATTATGTGCGACAGTTATTTGATTAAACAACATTGAAAGGATTAGAACTATATACTACGTATATAAGTCTACATATTTTGTGTTAACCAGGTTCACCGGTCTTGACCGGATTGACCCTCGGAGTCTGGATTGACTCTTGATCCGATCACTTATCTGGGTCACCTCTCATTTAAGGGTTCACACCATAATATCACACCAACACATTTTCCATATCTAAAATTCTCTTATTTTTATTACTTTTATAATATTGTAAAGATAAAAAGATCATCATATTAAAGTGCAAACCTTTAAATATACATTGACGACTTGATGTAATAATTTTATTTGTAAGTAATTACCATTTCGTAATCATTTTGTTTGACAGATTATTATGAGTTCAAGCTGTAACTTTTGTAATGTTTGAATCCGTAGTATTTTAAAAACTATACTGTTGTTACATTTGCATTGTTTGAAGCCGTAATCCAATTAGAAATTGCCCTAAATAGGAGCAAAAACGTTTTGAAATTCCAAAATAGGAGTATCGTGTTTTTTATTCCCTGAACAAGAGTAATCTGCCAAGTTTGGAAGAAAATGACATGTTTAAAGCCTAGTAATGCCAAAGTTGGCAGAAATTTACTCCTATTTAGGGAATAAAAAACACGATAGTCCTATTTTGAAATTTCAAAACCTTTTTACTCCTATTTAAGGAACTCTCTAAGAGATGTTACCCGAAATATGACTAAAACAGTTTGAAAATTCCAAAATAGGACTGTCATGTTTTGGCAATACCAGACTTCAAATATGTCAGTATTTTCTAAAAATGACAATAATTAATCTATTTTGAGAATAAAAAACACAGTTCTATTTTGAAATTTTGAAACTTTACCCATATCTAATGGTTAATGGTTTTTGATAGGGTAGGGTTTCAACGTATGCCTATAACCCACTGAGTTACTACAGAGTACAGAGTAATACCGAACCCGCCATACACATCCCCTGCCAGAGCCATCCAAACAGGACGCGCGGTTCACCCAAAACATCTTCGGTGAAATGCGGTCAAATTGAATCGAGCAAAGCCTCTTGTACGGTGACGTATTCTGACTCTCTGACACCGAAAATTGCAAAAGCTATTCTCTGGAACGTTAGCGGGGGATCAACCCACGCCAAGATGGAAGTTAGCAATAGAAACAAGCAGGAGGATGCCGCTGTTTTCCTGGACCGAGCTTCTCGAGCAACCAGAGGCAAACGGTGCATTCTTGTCACTAATTTGTTTGCTCCATGCCTGTTTTTCTAGCACATCAATTGCTTTTTTTTCCCTGTTTAATTGGATTTGTTTACAAATATTGGTCACATTTTAGGATGACCAAATTGGTAGATGAAGAGGTAGAAGATGATGAGCTGTTCTGGAATCAAGATGCCCTCAAAGAGGTTACTTTTCTTTCTATTTTTCACCCTTTGATCAGCTTTACTTGCGGTGTTAATATATCTTGTTTTTAGTAGATTATTTCTAATCCTAGTGTAAGTAGAGGTGCTCTACTACTAGCTTGGGTTTTCTAGGCGTTGTTGAGAGACCCACCTGGATGACATTTCATTCATGTCTCTCAGGAGGACATTGATCAAGAATATGAAGAAGAAGCAGAAGTTGTTGATGTTTTTGATAGTGATTTTGATGAAGATGTAAGTCCCAAACATATCTCTAACCATGCCCTTATTTCTACCCAGTCAAATGACTACATTATTAAAATTTTAATATTTGGATATTTGATGTGTCTTCAATTTCAACCAATTAGGAACCCGAGGCTGATGAAGATGGCGAGAATGAACCAGATGACAGGTACTGTCACTACTGTGGTTCATTGAAGTCATACAGCACAACCCTAATTTTATACATGGTGTGCTGAAGATCTAGCTTTATTGCTAGGAACCGGACAAAAAAGCGGTTAATATATCCTGGAAAATCTTCAGGCACAAAGAAAAAGAAAAAGAAACTAGTTCCAAAGCTAGAGATGACATCACAAGACCAAAAAGATCCCGATCCTTCCACGCCTTCTGAACATCATGATGCACCTGATGATGTTGAAGAGGAGAAAACAATTAGAAAATCAACGAGAACTTCCGTCATTGTAAGACAAGCTGAAAGGGATGCAATACGTGCAGCATTGCAAGCAACAATTAAGGTTGGATGAGACTACTGATGATTTTTTGTGGCTAATGTTACTTTTTCTGATTTAGTTGTTTTTTGTCTCCTTAAAACGATAAGAAAACAGGTATTTGGTTTTAAAAATATATAGAAAGGTGTAGGAGAAAAGGAATTGAATCTGGAAATTGTTTGAACATACAGATTTTTAGTATAATAAAAATATTTAAAACAAGCTTCTATCACTATTCATTATGGTGAAGTGTTGGAATTTATTATTGATGATTATTCGACAGCCAATAAAAAGGAAAAAGGAAGGCGAAGAGAAAAAAATGAGTCAAGAAGAGATGCTTCTGGAGGCTGCCCAGACAGGTTATGATGATTCTTTGAATTTTTAATTCATTGCTACTCCTCAATGTTGGCTGTTACGAGAATTTGTTTGATCTCTTTTTCAGAGATCATGAATTTGAGGAACTTGGAAAAGGTTTTAGCAAGGGAAGAAGAAGTGAAAAAAAGGGCCATTGTTCATAAAGCAGTTTATAGTGGCCCCTTGATAAGATATCTCTCAAAAGATGGTAACTTCAGCAATTTATTTTCCCAATTTGCACCCGTAGCTTTCCTAAATTTTCATATTTGTTTAGCTATTCATGTATAATTCAATATTTTTTGCTTACATTTTTGTTTTTGGACTTTGATAATCATTTCAGGTTGTTCATACCTAGAATTTAATAATGGTGCATCATTTGAGGCAGAACTCTTAACTTTATCTACTCCATGTAAGTAAAGTGATTATAAGTTTATTGTCTTTTCATTCTTTCCATTTCATGATTCTTAAGTAGCTTAAAGTGGATGCCTGCCAATAAACTCAGCCATGGGAACCAGGCATTTCCCTGTTCAGCGTTAGAGTAATGCTTTGTCTTAGATAAGCTTCAGTTAATACAATGAGTTGAAGCAACCGTTTGACTTCAGGAAGTCTCTTTTGCTTTCCATTCCTTAGTTTTTGACAATTTTTCATCTTTACAGACCCACAGAAAGCAGTGTGTGCAGTTACTGGGCTCCCAGCTAAGTAAGCCCCCCCCCCCCCTCCCACACACAATGATTTGAATAATGTTTTATGAAATATATAATGTGTTGAGACTCTTCATTTTTAAAAGCCTAGAATTGCTAGACCTGATAAAACCAGGAACTTGACACTAAAGTGAAGTGTGAACTTCTATTAGCCTGGGTTTGGTTCAAAAAAGTTAACCATACGTTTTCCTTGGTTCAACAATGAGTGCGGATGAATTGTCATTTTAGGAAAATAAATACTACAATTGATATCATTTTTGGTGTAATTAAAACTAAAGTAATTTATGTGTATAACACAAATGATGAGAATAATTTGATTTGTAAATAGATGAAGACAAAATTAAGAACAGAATATGAAATAATGCCTCTTATATGACAAAAAATATGTGACTCAATAATTTTTAGTGATTATCACTATGTTCAATTTTACACCAAAGTTACCATAAAAGTATGCTCATAGTAACTTTAGTCACATGTTTGTCCATGAGTTTATTTGAGTTATATTTAAAGAAAAACTGCAAAAAATATATAAAACCTCCTGAATGCGCAAGTTAGAGAAGTGACATGTGAGGAGTTTGGATTGGTCAATGGGTCCTCCGCTTTTCCTCTCTTCCCTCGCTCTCCAAACTAAACAAGGGCTTAAAGGATGAGTGGATTGTGTGCTCTGCCTTACAATCTGCACTTGGTTCCTCTTTTTTTTACTCAATCGTATCAGTGTATATCACCTCACACAACATCTAAAGGACTCGAATTAGGGAGTGTTTGGAACTTATTCTGCTTCTGCTTCTTTTTTAAAGTAGAAGCAGAATCAGAATCAGTTTTCAGAAGCTTCTAAAAAACTGCTTATAGGACTAAATTAGGGCACCAGAAGTACTTCAACACTTTCATCCAAACACTCCAACTTCTGTTTCTGCTCCCTGAAGGAGCAGAAGCAGTTTTAAGAATCAGATCCAAACACCCCCTTAGTAGTGCTCTTTGTGTAGGATTTATCTTGTAGACATCTTTTTTCATAGTGCCTCAGGTTGTCACTTCATTTTTCGGAGTATGGAATTGATTATTTTGTACCAACAACCAGGTATCGTGACCCAAAGACGGGCCTACCTTATGCAACAAAAGAGGCATTCAAGATCATCCGTGAACAGTATGGATCCATTCACCTGCATATAAATAATATTTGAAGGATCTGAAAGTTTTGTATATGTTTTGGCTTTTTATTTGTCTATTGAGCTACCATTATTTCTGATATTGCAGGCATTCAATGAATAAAGCCAACAGGACGGTAGAGAAAGAAGGTGCTAATGTACTACTGATCAATGCCATTTCTGGATCAGGATTTTCTAATAGACGAAAAAGGTCATCAAAGCCCCCTCAAAGTAGAGAAATGTCGTATTCCAGAGTTTTTGCACGGTTTCGTAGGATGCCCTCCATCGAAATTGAAGACTCATCAGAGTAGCAGCTAAAGATTTTCCGTTCCAGATATGCATCCTCATTTTCCTAATCATGATGGAATTATTATTATTTTCTTTATTTTCCTTTATCTTGTCCAGGATGGATGTAATATATGGAAAGAGTAGAAAGTCAATAAGGTATAATTTTGTATGTTAGGATTAATCAATAGAAAGCAAAGAAAAGTCTTTCCTGTTTTTTTATCCTTTGTGTATCAAGTCATATTGTTGTCTAATTACCCAAATTGATTTGCAATATCAATATTTTTTGGCCCATCAATATTGAAGTTAAATATTTTATTCAATCATTTCCAATGCCCATGGGTCATCCGGTAGAAAAATGCTAGAAGTACAAACACACTTACAAAAAAACTTACAAACAAGTGATGTGGCTATTCTAATTACCATTGATGTAAAAGTGTTGTAAATGTGATGTGATGTGTTAAATAATGTGATGATGCCACATACCCCTTTTGTAAGACTTTTTGTAAAAGTTTTTGTACCCCTAGCATAACTTCATCCGGTAACAGTTTCTTTGTGTTTTAGTACATGGGTAAGATTGTATATCCGACCCTCCTTACTCCATCGTTGGTGGGAGCCTTTGCGGCACCGAGGCAATGATGATGATGATTTCCAATGCAGCCAGACTCACTATTTTTTTACTCAATAATATGATGGAATAAAGCGAAAGAGAACAGGTACAAATATACTCATGTAGTATGAGAGTGAGAACAAATATATCGATGTTCTATTTTTGGGAACAAAAATACCCTTGAAGTATATGTTGAAGTGCATATATATCCCTGAACTTTTAAAAATCGCAAAAATACCCCTCATGTTCTTATAAAGGAGCAAATTTACCCTTATTGACTTTAAAGAGATCAAATAAATTTTGAAAAACACAAACAAAAAATATAGATTCAAAATTTAAAAATAAAGATTTATTATTATGTTAAAATATCAACTCTTTAATTTTAAATTGCAAAATTAATATTCATCCGTTGTAAATGAAGCACTTCAAATTCATTAATTTTAATTTTAGTCTTGTTGTGAAGTTTTGAACACATTGTTACATTTTTTTATTTTGTTTAATCTTAATAAAATTAAATTCACTATTTTGTAATCTTGGACTATTTATCATCATACAAAATATGTAATTTTTATAGTGCAAAGAATGCAAAAAAAAAATTACATTGCGATAGTAAAGTAATGTTTTACAATATTAAATTGTAAAGTTTATATATTAAAATGTTTTAAAAAATAATAATTTTTTACATTTATATACTCCCTCCATTCTTTATTATCTATCTCGCTAGCCTTGGGCACGAGTTTTAATAGAAAAATAGTAGGATAAATGTAGAGTGTGTAGGGTAAATGATAAAGTAGGAAAGAGTATTAAAAAGAGTAAAGTGGTGAAAAAGTGATGATAAAGTAGGAAATAGAGTTTATCAAGTAGAGTAAAGTTATGATAAAGTAGGAAAGATAAAGTAGTTTGTAAAAAGAAAGAAGGGTAAAAGTAATAAAAGTGGAAGCATTTTATCAAAAACTTTCCTAAAACAGAAACAGAGACAAATAATAAAAAGCATCCCAAAAAGGAATGTGAGACAGTTAATAAAGAACGGAGGGAGTAGTAAAATTTTGAAATGATATTTTATACTAACAATATTAAATTGTGACATGCAAACAATAAAGGGGAGAATTGGACACAAGTACATTTTAAAAAAATTTAATTGTCTAGTTTCGAATTTATAATTTATTTTTGGCATTTTTTTTGAATTTTTTTTATCAATTTAAACAATAAGAGTAAATTTGCTCCTTTATAAGAACATGAGCATTATTTTTGCACATTTTAAAATTCCAAGGGTATATATGCACTTCTATATATAGTTCAGGGGTATATTTGTTCCGAAAAATAGAACAGAGGTATATCTGTTCTCACACTCATACTATAGGGTATATTTGTATATTTTCCCTAAAGCGAAATGATTTACTCCCTCCGGTCCGGAATCAAATTCACACTTTTCTTTTTGGGTAGGTCCAAACTAAACTTCACACTTCTTCTCCCTTTCTTATTTGGCAAATTATCTACATCAAAACAGTGCAAAACAATGCAAAACAGTGTCACAACAGCGTACTCTACAGTAAAGCCAAATTTATTTCCTTAATTTGTGTGGAGTCGAACACTGAATTTGTTTTGGGACCGGAGGAAGTATTAAACTGTTTGTGCTTCTTTGTTATGGGGTAATCAGTCAATCAATGCAATTTTCGATGTGATTTTCATCATCAGTCATTCGCACACAGCCTCTCTGTATTTTAATACAGAAGTAAGGATGTCTATATTCGACCCCTTTACCTCATTGACGTTACTTGGGTAGTTGGGTAATGTTGTTGCAATGTTAAAACTAAATCCTCTCTAAGTACCTATTGATAATTAATTCAATTTTAATAATCAAAACTTACATATTTAGAAAACTACATCAAAATCTCGATAAAGTTTCAAAATTGAAATTAGAATACAATTAAATATTGATATTTTAATTAAGTGAATAAATAAATTTGTTGGACCAAAAAGGATGATTAATTTACAAATCATTTAAGACGGAGGTATTATTATATTTTATTTTAGGTAATGGTAGTCTGGTATAGGAAGTACTTGCTATTAGTCATTATTTCGAATGCATAATTGTATAGTACTGGTCTATTTTCTCCCCAAATTAGAGAGGGTTGGAATGAAATATAACATAATTGTATTTCTGGGACAGAAGTCACAGAACTACCGCATTTGGTTTTTATGTTTGTAATATTTTTAAATTTGAAACAGATAATTTCTAAATGTTTTCATTTCATCGTTGTATTATATTTCAATTATAAATAAACAACAATTGTGTTTTCATTCGGGACAACAACATAATTGTTTTATAACATTCGGGACAACACATTTAAGAATAAATAAACACAGTCGTTTGCAGATAAGAATACAGAGTATTATTATACATGAATTCAGTAACACCCAATTTTTAGTACAGTAAGAGTTTATTCCAAAGCCGTCTATGTATATACCTGTTTAGTTTTTCACCATTTCTATACATACCTCTCACTCCCATAATTCTCTATCCAGAGATATGCTCTTTCAAATCTTGCATGAATAATCTTTGAATGCAGGCCCTGACCGGTTTGAGGACGGATCAATCCATCACATCTGCGGTCGTGTCTGGACAACAAAGATTTTCCCATCCCTCACCACACCCTCGATGTCTTGAGCTGATCCATAAAGCTCTTCGATCACACTTCCGGAACGGGCAATGTTAGAGAGGATTGAATGGCGGAAATCGTTATTGGTTATTAATGGATCGGAAGAGTAATCAATTACAACTTTCTCCTCTTCATCCATCGGCACACTACAGAAAGCAAATTTGTACCGTGGAGATCAGTTTTTTTTTAAATACAAAATAATGGACATGAATTAAAAGAGGATGTGTGTGTAATATTTACCTGTCATAAAGACCAGCACCAGCATAACCCTCTAGATCCTCGCCATTGGAGTCGGAGCGGAAGATTATCGATCGCCTAATGAAAAGGCCTATGGGCTTGCTTGGGTAACCCAGAACCTGAATATATTTACATTCATAATGTAAGATTTAACATTTCTACTTTTTAGATCAAGACCCGGCATCATTTACCATGACTTTAGGTGAAATAAATTATTTAATGGGGACACATATCCAACTACTTGATTATATCCCCCATATCAGAATAAGCACTTGTTTGGGTGAAGGGTTTTAGAGAGAAGGGATGCAAGGGTGATTTTTGTTTCATTAAATGTAGTTTTACATTTACACGGTCAGAAACTATCTTGTACTAAAAATAGATCTACTCGGTCCAAAAGAAACAATCACAGTACTTAATACTCTGTAGTTCCTTTTCGGCTTTTCCGCAACTACATGAGTTATATTTTTGGGAATTTAGGAATTCCCTCACGGTCCTATTTGTATGTTAGGCTATGGCTAATTCTACAGTAATTCTGAGCTCACCGAAGGTAAAAATGACGACAAAGATCAAAAGTAGAAGTTTATTGTTTAATGGAAAGAGAAGAATACAGTTCCCAGGTCGTAACAAAGTTCCGACTCCCAGTCCCAAGTCCCAAGATAATTCCAACCTCCCCTCTATTCTACCCTCCACCTCCATTTATACTGATTATTCTAATACGATTATTACTCTCATTTATTATCATTCTATTCTATGTAGGTCCCTATCATTACTCCTCCTTGGACAACCACCTTGTCCTCAAGGTGGGTGATAGGAGACTGTCATTACGAACACCTTCTTCCTCTTCTTTGCGCCTCTTCCTTCCCAGTATCTTCCAAATTTCAGGACCCTGAACTTCATGAACTGAACCATTGTCATCACTTTTACCATAGCAAGCAGCTGAGGCAAGCGCATGGTTACCAAAATCCTGGTGGCAGAATACTTCCTGTGCTTACTTAGGAACTCTTCAAATAACCCATTGACCCATCGAAGAAACACAACATCACCACCTATTGACTCTCCATCTTGTTTTGGACTTAATGCTCCAATTGGTTTTGCAAGAACCAAGTAAGTAAACGACTTTATCAAATCCAGATTTTCTGAGGAATAATCAGCCAGAACCCAAGGAGACAAAGGAGACTTAATTAATTCATCATAAGATCTTCCAGTAGGTTTGTTGAGAATCATTATGTACTCACAGTTTATAGCTCTATGAAACCGGCAGTCAAAACCTTCCCAGTATTTCCCTGGTTGTTTATCATTTCTCAGACATTTTTCCTCCTCATTTTCATTGCATGGACCATCACACTTTGATTTGTTTCTTTCCGGATCACCCTCTTCCCCAAGCTTGGTCAGTGCCATTGAAATTCTTGAGATGCATTGACCACTGTCCACTAGCACATAGCAGTACTCACTCACTTGGTATGCATACTCATCATGCCACCCCCTGATTTAATAGATGTATCATTTCCTTTGCGAAAACAGGACCAAGAGCTCAAGCCATCAGACAAAGCCTTTGGATTCAACCTTAAAACAGCAAAAGTAAAAATCTTCACCTAGTCATCATTAGGAAGTGCTGTTGACACTTATAGGTCCTGGTAGATGTTCAACAAATAGCAACTCATGTTTTCAGCACCAATTTCCAACACCCATATGATTGACTGAGCTTCAAAAACAGCCTCTCTCTCTCAATAGTCAACATTTTTAAAGAACCAAAATTATTCAATCTTTGTGGCTGATGCTGAAGAATGGACGAATCGAGATAAGAGTTGTCAAATTCCCTGTAAGTACCATTCACAAGTACAAGGGACCCCGCAGCTGGGCTTCTAGCCACAGGATAGGAAATTACCAAAACTGGATTTTCTGTCAAGAATCTGAGAGGTCAATTTCAACACTGGAAGTCCTTCCCTTGTAGGCTTGAGGTCAACAGGCAGCATTTCAGTTTTTGTCACCTTCTTTTGTGTGATCATCAACAATGGGAGATAGAGTTTCTCATAGCAGGCAAATGCCTCACCCTTACGAACACAATAGTCCAAACCTATACCTGCTTTTTGATTAGGTATACAAACTGTTGGCATTCTCTTCACATTTTCACCAATTATCAAAGCGTCTTGGACGATAGCAGGATTGATTCCCTTGTCAAACATCAGAAACCTATCAGCGTAACAATCAGTAGTACAACCCACCTTTTCCTTCCAATATCCAGTAGTTCCTACCCCCAATCTATCTTGAATGATCTTAATAGAAGTAACATCATCAAATCTGAAGCCATCAAACTCAGTCAACCCTTCCAAAATCCCCTTTGATATCTGTCGGTGCACACTTGGAATGCCATAAGTATGGATTCGTAGGTGAGACATGCTCTCCTCATCAGCCCCTGTGATATTGTTGTTCATTCCCAAAGTAGGATCATGGTGGTAGGTACAATTTCCTTCCTGATTGCAAGGAATATCAGGTTTGAGCTGTTCGGATTCTTCCAGAATATCTGGTGAGTATCCTGTCTGTTGATTAGTATCCTTGTCAGGATCCGATTCCAAAATTGAGTGTTCAGCCGACTTCCACTCGATATTTGTTGTCGATGAAATCCCCAGGGAGGAAAATTGAGCCGACTCAGAAACCTGCGATGCATACTGTGAATTGGTCGAAACAGCTAGCGAAGATGAACTTAGAGAAGTTCTTTTCGATTGCGATGATTCCTGGTTTACTGTCTTCCGCCCGCATGTAGGTTGGAATCTCCAAATCATCTTTTCCTTCAGAGCTTCCCAATTCTTTACTCTCGTTTCAATTTCCCACCGTTGAAACCAATTGAACGCCCTATCCTCCATTGCTTCTTCTGCGACTCTAACCTTATATTTTTCTGCAGTACCATTGAGTTGGAAGTATCGTTCCATCTTAATTATCCATCCGTACACTTCATCCCCATTGAATACTGGTAAATCTACTTTCCTTCCAGATTTCTCCATCCACTTGCTATAATCATTGTTTCGCGAGGAAAAGTGATGATTACCTGAAGAAGACGAAGAAGATTCACTACTGTCCAGTCTCTTGCTTCGCTTCGTTGTTTTGGACCTTCTGCGCGACTCGCCTCGCTGCGATATGAACTCGTGCAACTCATCGCGAGTTCGCTGAGCTTCTTCACGCATCTCCTAGCGAATGCGCGACGTCTCTGCACGGATTTTCTCCAGCTCACGTTCCATATTCTCCAATCGTGCTTCCATCGTTCCTCTTGTGGCGACCATGTACAGGTAAAAGATCGTTGCTCTGATACCAATGTTAGGCTATGGCTAATTCTACAGTAATTCTAAGCTCACCGAAGGTAAAAATGGCGACAAAGATCAAAAGTAGAAGTTTATTGTTTAATGGAAAGAGAAGAATACAGTTCCCAGGTCGTAACAAAGTTCCGACTCCCAGTCCCAAGTCGCCCAAGATAATTCCAACCTCCCCTCTATTCTACCCTCCACCTCTATTTATACTAATTATTCTAATATGATTATTACTCTCATTTATTATCATTCTATTCTATGTATGTCCCTATCATTGTAGAAATTTGTTACTCCTTATCTTTTAGTCCTATTTATGAGCTTTTCCCAAAATTATACACAAATGCATGATTTAACAAAAAATCTAGGGAAAAGGGGCAAAAACACCCATGAAGTTGCCTGCAAGGGTTATCTATGCCCACATACTTTATTTTTGAGCAAAAATCTTTAAGAAACCTGAAAAGAGGGCAAAAAGCCCCTTTAACCAACACCAACAACTTACTAGAACATACAACCGTTAAAGTTGCTCACTTGCTATTATATAGGCTGTATATACGAAGAAAGGGAAAAGGGGATCAATCAAAATTAATTTATCTTTATTTGAACAAATAAACACTAGAATAACTCATTGCTTTTGGGTTCCATAAAAAATCTCACTTTTATAATGTTTAATTTTAAGGATGTTTTTACTTGGACTATTTTCAGTCCCAGACCAGATTAGACTTAAATAGATCATACCAGACTTAAACAGATCAGACCAGATCAGTTCAGACCAGACTTCTATCGTTATAAAATACACAGAGATCAGACTTTTACCAGACTAGAGTAGACCAGACTTAAACAGACCAGACCAGACCAACAAATTTCAGTCCAGGTAAAAACATCTTAAGTATTAAAAGTAGAAAGTTAATGTTTAGTCCTATTTAGGGAAGATTTAAATTTTACTCCTATTTGTGCAATTATGTGTAGGTTTAGTCATATTTAGGATAATTTCTCAATTCAAAATACAAATATTTGTATGACATTAAAATTACACGATTCATTTAGTTCTGACTTTTTTAAAAAACAATTTTTTAAACAAGTAAAAAAAAAATTATTCTAACATTAATACTCATATGAGTTGCACCATCTATCCGAACTTGCAACATAATATTAAACTAAAATAAATAATTTTTGGGGTGAGCACATGTGATGATTTGAGGACCAAAATCTTCCGGGGTTTTTTATTGGGATCCCTTTTTTCTTCAATATAGCACAAGCTAAAATTTAAAACCAATAATACTCCGTATTAAACATAGTACACACCCCGTATTTGTTTTAGATACGGCGCCCCTATATAAGTGAATTAGCCAACTGACCAAATTAAGGGCTTCATGTTCTGTTAACTTGATTCCGTTAGTTAAAGGGGTTTTTTGCCCTCTTTTCAAGTTAATAAAAGTGTTTTGCTCAAAAATTAGGTTTATGGGTGTAGATATCCCTTGCTGGCAACTTCAGGGGTGTTTTTGCCCCTTTTCCCAAAAATCTATTATGTAGTCATTTTCTAGTCTAAGACTAACCAAACAAAGCCCTAAAGGAAAGGAATTGAACAGAATCTGGACTCCCGTTATATGCAGCGAGTAAACTTCTTGAACTTGCTAGTAAGGGGACGGTTCATGCGCCTGGACTAACCATTGAAAATATATACCAAAAATGAATTTCAATTTAATATGAGACATACAAGGGTATAAGACTATACTAGTCCCTCCGTGCCACAATAAAAAGAAGTGATATTTGCAATACTGAAATCAATATTACCAACACGGCTCTTTTTTAGGGGCTGAGGTAGTAAATCGATTAGATATTTAGATAAAAAAGAACAGGATACTCACCTGAGGAGAGTTTAGATCACTCTTCTTGCAGACAAAACTCAATGCACGGCCTGGATATGCCCCAACTAGTGTTTCTCCGAGGCCCTTTACAACCTGCACCCCAATCAATGAGAAGAATCCATAAAGGTTACCATATTTTTTCCCACTTTTTTTATTCTTAGGTCTAAAGCCAGTACGACCTCAGGTCTTGTTATCTAGAGAAAAATTCAAATCAGGTTACAATTGGATATTTGGTTAGTTTTCGGGATTTGAAACTTGATTTTCAGAACTTCAGGTTTTAGGTAAACTTCTCCCTCATGAAAAGGATCCAATTCCTCATTTAAATGCGAATAAAATTAAGCCACGACTCAAATTGTTAAGAATTGACATGTAATTATAGGCATGTTTCATGTTTCACTTTCTTGACTAATATCAGTAGATCCCTACAAAAAACAGCAGTGATATAGAAGCATGAAAAGTGAGATGATATAGCATCACCCACCTCAGCATATATCTCAGACACATCTCCTGATGATGGATTTGTGGTATGAATAACAAATGCATAATCAGCATTAATTATTTCTTGAACAAGGACGGCCATGCAGAGAGAGTCATGATCTAGTTTGACCTTCCTTGTGCTGAAATATGCTCTCTCATTCCATTTTGAAGCCCAAACCTGGAGAATGAGAGAAATGATAATACATACAGTATATCGAAGACACTTCTATCCTTATTCATCTATTTTAAATATATCCATGACACTTCTATCCTTATTCATGAATGCTTCCCAGTTATATATCTTCAGTCAAACTGTTCATAAGATTGGGGGAAGACTAGTTTGGTTATCATAGCTCGGAAGCATGCAATTTACTTTTTTTATTGCTGACCATGCCTGTTCCCAACGTTCTGGACCTTCATCACCCGGCCATGGCATGCCAGAACTTTGCATCTTATCTTTTAGCTCATTGATCTGAAATTTAATATTGGCACATATCATGTTGAAAGCTTAACCCGTACATCAATAAACAAGAAAGCATCTTGGTCCAAAAAACCACAAATAGAAGAAAGCAGAACCTGTATGTACTTGTAAAGCATTAAACTCTTTCCATTGAAATAACTAGTTAATCTTAAGTATAGCATGGCACACAATCTTTGCCGATAGATTGTGTGCATGAACTATAATAGTATCAAAACTAGTCCAGGTAGTGTTAATGCATGAAAAAGATAGAAAATGGATTTTAAAAATAAGTAATATTTAAAAAAGAAAAACTTTACTAGCTGAGGTGGCGCTGAAAGTTCTAGAACAGTGTTTCGGATAACACGAAGGACACTGAAATCTCCGTCAGATAACTTTTTCTTCAAAGATTTTAACTTTGCTTCCACTTCCTGCAGAATAAATTGAAGTCCTTAAAAATTCAGTGCATATGGGTTTCCACTAGAGTATATCGTTTTACTTTGAATGACTTTAATTTGTAATCACAATTGCTATTAAACCAAGATAATAACAATAATTAAGTAACAAATTATCTTTAAGATGCATATAAATTTCACTGTTCTGAATATATGCTAGTACATTTTCTTGCTGTTTCTTTCCAAATAGATTTAATGCAGCAAAACTTTTATACATACTTACATACATAGTTACATGCATAGATATTTATTACGAGCAACAAATATATAGATTGTTATATGTTTTTTATGTGTAGGTTTGAAGAATTAATCTTTCATGTATTATTGAGCCATCCGGCAATGATATAAATACAAAATTACAGATAAGCTAAGGTTTGTTACAGATCCTAATATTTAGGATCTATCTATTCTTATCTACACTGCGTGTTAATCTAAGAGTTAGAGTCCTAAATCAACTCTACTTCCTATCTATACAGTTCCGGATGTACACATAATAAAATAACATGAATATGCTACATTTTTCTACACTCCCCCTCAAGTTGGTAAGTATATATCATACATTCCCAACTTGCTTATAAGAAACTCAAACACTGGTTTAAACAGCCCCTTTGTAAAGATATCAGTTGTCTGCTCTTTAGTAGATATGAATGGTGTGCGTACAATTCCAGCTTCAATCTTCTCTTTGATAAAATGCCTGTCCACCTCAATGTGTTTAGTACGATCATGTAGCACAGGATTGTGAGCAATATTAATGGCTGCTTTATTGTCACAATATAATTTCATAGGTAGGTTCATTTCCATATTCAACTCTGTCATTATTCTCTTGATCCAAAGTAGCTCACAGATTCCATTAGCCATAGATCTAAATTCAGATTCTGCACTACTTCTGGCAACAACATTCTGCTTCTTACTCCTCCAAGTCACCAGATTCCCCCATATATAAGTACAATATCCAGATGTAGACCTTCTATCAGTTATTGACCCAGCATAATCTGCATCTGTAAAGGCTTCTACACTTCTATTGTCACTTCTTTTAAAAAATAATCTTTTCCCTGGACAACTTTTCAAATATCTTAGGATCCTGTAGGTAGCATCTAGATGTTCTTGGAATGGATTATGCATGAACTGACTAACCATACTGACTGCAAAGGCAATATCTGGCCTTGTATGTGCCAGATAAATCAACCTTCCCACCAATCTTTGATATTGGTGAATATTAACTGGTACTCCTTCCTTGACATTTCCTAACTTCTGGTTAGGGTCAATTGGAGTATCTATTGGTCTGCATGCACTCATACTTGTTTCATGAAGTAGGTCTAGTACATACTTCCTTTGGGATACCACAATTCCCTTCTTTGATCTGGCTATCTCCATGCCAAGAAAATACTTCAATTCTCCCAGGTCTTTGATCTCAAATTCCTGAGCAAGCTTCTTCTTCAGGTCTTCAATCTCTTCACAATAGTTTCCTGTAAGAATTATATCATCCACATAAACAATTAGTACTGCAATTTCTCCTTTAATGGAGAATTTCATGAATAGTGTATGATCTGCTTGGGCTTGTTTGAATCCCTGCTTCTTTATGAACTGAGTAAACCTTTCAAACCAAGCCCTTGGGGACTGTTTAAGCCCATATAAGGCTTTCTCTAGTTTGCACACCTTTGAGCCATATTGTTCCTCAAACCCAGGAGGAGGGCTCATGTATACTTCCTCTTCAAGCTTCCCATTTAGGAAAGCATTCTTCACATCTAACTGTTGAAGAGGCCAGTCTAGGTTAGAAGCTAGAGATAGTAGAATCCTTGTAGTATTTAATTTTGCAACTGATGCAAAAGTTTCTGTATAATCTATGCCATAGGTTTGTGTGTATCCTTTGGCAACCAGTCTGGCCTTATATCTTTCAAGTGTACCATCTGCCTTGAATTTAGGAGTAAACACCCATTTGCATCCAACCCTTGGTTTATTTTTGGGTACCTCTACAGTCTGCCATGTCTGATTCTTTTCAAGGGCATTCATTTCTTCTAAAACAGCCTTCTTCCACTCAGGTGTAGATAGGGCTTCCTGTATGGTTAAGGGAATAGAGACACTGGAAAGGCTAGAGGTAAAAGCTGCAAATGATGTAGATAACTGAGAATAGGACAGATAGTTTGAGATAGGGTATTTAACACATGACCTTTTTTCTTTTCTGAGAGCAATGGGTAGATTTAGATCACTGAAATTATTACCTTTGTCATTTTCTGGCATTGAGTCAGATTCATTGACAGTGGCAGGATCAGGGATGTCCTCTATTCTGTGATTTGGAACTTTCCTTTCATAAACCTTGCCAAAAAACTTACTTATCTGCTGTTCATCATCTTTCCTTGTTTCAGAAAAAAGTTTTTCATTTTCTTTTGACTCTTGACTATTTTCTAGTGCATCTAACTGTCTATTATACTGTGCATCTAGATTAATGTCAAGAGGTTCTAGTTTTTCAAGGATATGTGATACATTATTACCATCTTCATTAGGAATCTCCCCCTGAAGATGAGTACCAAAAAAAGGTTGATCTTCTACAAAAACAGTGTTCATAGTTATAAACATCTTTTTTGTTATAGGGTCAAAACATTTATAGCCTTTCTGAGTTGAAGAGAGTCCTAAGAAAACACATTTTTTCCCTTAGGGTCAAATTTCTGAGTGTTCCCTGATAGAAGGTAGAGGTTTTTTTCCAAGTATCCTCCCCTTAACTTCATCTAGGTCCCTATTGATCCCTGCTAGAAACATATAGACCCTATCATTCTCTTCTTTTTTCTTATGTCTGGCCAGATCCTTAGCACTCTCCCACTCTTCATCATCATAGCATTGATCTAATTCTTGCCACAGAGATACCATTTCATTGTAGTATGAAATAATATCCCTATTTCCTTGTTTAGATTGCCACAATTTTGTTTTGAGTTCAAAAATTTGAGAAGAGTTCTCAAGGTCTGAATAAGTTTCCTTAATAGAATCCCATACCTCCTTTGCAGTTTTCATAAACATATGAGGTTTGGCAATTAGGGGCTCCATGGAGTTGAGAAGCCAAGCTGTTATGAGTGAATTCTCTGACCTCCATGTACTGTACCCTTCTTCTGCAGGTATTTTTGGTTGGATTTCTCCTGTGATGTAACCCAGCTTTCCCCTCCCATCAATTGCAAGTCTGACAGATTGAGACCACTCCAGATAGTTTGTTCCATTCAATCTATGACTAGTGATTATCATATATGAATGAATAGGAGACTGGTAATTTGTCATAGAGCTAATTTGGGAGTTAGGGTTGGTAGTGTGTGAGGAATCAGCTTCACTGGTTTCTACCATTGTTTAAACCGAAGCTCTGATACCATGTAGGTTTGAAGAATTAATCTTTCATGTATTATTGAGCCATCCGGCAATGATATAAATACAAAATTACAGATAAGCTAAGGTTTGTTACAGATCCTAATATTTAGGATCTATCTATTCTTATCTACACTGCGTGTTAATCTAAGAGTTAGAGTCCTAAATCAACTCTACTTCCTATCTATACAGTTCCGGATGTACACATAATAAAATAACATGAATATGCTACATTTTTCTACATTATGTTTAAATCTTTAAAATTTGTTTTTTTTATAAATAAGGCAGTATGTCTTGGACAAAGAGAAACCATAAAAAAGCAAGCAGTCCAAATCTCCAAAAGATTATGACATGTAAAAACTCTTAAAAATGAATCTCAATGATATACAAGTTTTAAGATACTTAGTAGCGAATAGCGATATTACTTCTTAAAGAAAAATGCTTTACTGGATTTGTGTACAATTATGTATACATAAAATTTACTTTACAATATTTACCTATTTTATCTGTGCATGTATATTTCAAGTTCAGGTCTTCAGTGGAATAAATCATATAATGCTAATTCTTTTTGTAAAATAGGCTCTCAATCTCCATATATACATTTCGGTATTCTTTAAACAAAGTGAGACATTAGTAGTACACTTGGTACCACATAGGCAGACCTGACTAAAATGATATTAACTGATCGACATCGAAAAAATAGAGATTGAATTAAACAGATCAGTAGTTGTAAACTGAATTGATCATTTTTGCACAAGTACAGGAGCTGATACAATACTTAAATCAGAATGTGAATAGAGGTGCTCTTAAATAGAGTGAACAGAAAACCTGATTGATATCTTCAGAAAGAGCTTTCTCAAAAACTCCGAAGGGGAGGGCAACTGAAGTAGGGATCCCAATCCAAGATGGGACTTTTCCTTGAAGGTTTGCAATGTTACGAGATTTAGCCCCGACCTAGGCATATAAAAGAATTTTAATGATCATTATCGGAGTGAATCAGCACGTCTAAGTAAAATATATGGTAGTACATACAACAACAACATCCAAGCTTTAGTCCCAAAAGATTATTACAAATAACATGATGCCACAAAGAAAGTAACAGCATGCAAATGGTGTGATTGGAGAACAAATGCAATCCTCACCAGTTCCATGGTGAATTCCTTAGATGTTATGGCATATCTACCAGTGAAGTGTTTTTTTATCAATGTTAAAGATTGTAGAGGGCCAATTTCCATCGAGTGAGCTGAACTCTGGAGCTCAACCTCTTTCTCCTCACTATGATAACATGGAAGGACAAAAGATAGATTTATTTATCATCTACAAACATGGTAGAAATTTGAATTGAATACTCTGTATGAAAATATTCATCCAGCGGACTTCTGGAATAAGATAAATCCACCTATAGATTATATCAGCAGATGTCGGTTTTAATCTCAAAACCTTTCCTTCTTTTGCTTGAAGTTCAGCCAGAAGATTGGGATCAAAGCAAGTTGCAAAACATACCTGCCAAAGGGGACATGACTTATGCATACACTAAATGATGACATTTTGAAGTGTTAGACTATACACACACACACACACACACACACACACATATATATATATATAACGGTTGTCATGAGAAATACTACCTTGCTGTTTCTTGCTCGAACAGAAACATGGGAAAGGACATCTGGCATGTCTGGCGTCAGCACAGCAACTGTTCCATCAGGAATTTCCTCCTCACCTTTAACAGTTTTTGCCACCAAAATAGTTGGCTTTTCGTAAGTTATGTTTTGAACAGAGAGTAGTTCATCCACAACAACAACGTAGCCAAGAGCCTCAACTGGGCTGATAATCTGCCAACTGCATATGCGCAAAAGTATAGCATTAAAATGTTTCAATCTAGCTTAACAAACACTCCAACTTGCAACATCTGTCTTAAAATTTCACATAATTCAATCATAGGCGTCAATGGAAAAGAAACTTGATTATGCAGATGTTAAAATTTACCATTACATGGTTTATTGGTGTGCACTCGGTATATTACTATTAATAAAATGTCAGCAGTCACAATTGTAGGTAACCAGAGGGTACATCACACATTAATGAACTGAGATAACTGTTATAAGAAACCAACAAGATATGTGAGCCAGCCATTTACCTTCCCAGATGAGCTGTTTGGCGAAGAATTGGGTCTAGTCGATTAAGAAGAGATGATAAGGAAGCTGCTGATCCAGAACGAATAATTTCTTCGGTGAATATGTTCACCTGCATTAAAGAGTATATATGTGATTATGTGAAAATCTTTTTTACAACAAACTGAATTACTGAAGTACAAGAAAGATTCTTTTAGTCTTAACAACATACCGCCCACTTATCCACCCCAAGTTTTGATCCAAGATACTCTGCAGACGGCTGCAATAGATGATGGTACCACTCTGCTTTGTTTGCAAGAGCAAGCCGAGTTCGGTCAAGAACAGATTTTGCAAATAAGGCCCAATTATTGTCTTCACGCTTTGACATACTCAGTGCTTGATTCCATCCCTCCATATCAACAATGGCAACCATGATTAGTGTAGGGTTATTAGCTTAAAGTGATCACTAAACCATTGAGGTCATACTTTGGGTTTTATCTGAATACGTAAATCTTTAATACGATTAAAAGCTTATTACTGCACCAGGAATGCTTGTGTATGTACATTATTTGTTGAATCGTTTCAGGAATTATTTGCACCATATAAGCAAAGCGTGGTAGAAACTAGAAAGTACTTCATACTATTGAAACTTTTCACCATAGAGCTTGTAACTAAATTCATAACTGTACGATTTTCCCCTCAAAGATACTCAGTTACAACAACTCCCACATTTCTCAATTATTACCATGAAAGAAGAGAAATAAGTGCACCAAAAAAACTTGCAACTCAAATATTGGTGTTAAACAAAGAACTATGAAAAAAATGTAAAAGCAAGTACTGAAGGCTACACAGCTGCTACCTTTAGAGAGTAGACAAGGTCTTCATTAACATTGACAGACAAAGCAAGATTCTCCAGAACAAGATAGATAAAGTAGATAATTTTCTGTAAAGAATGAACAGGGTGACAAAAGATATAAACATGGAAAAAGCTCAAAATGAATGACATAATGATACTCTTAATTATTAATATGCAGGATATCATAATTATTAATATATTGGTTTGTATCTTTATAATTGTATCTTTATAAAGATTGTTAAATAGATTGCCCGTTTGAACTTAAGTGGCTCCGATAACATATAAAAATTCGGGGTTCCATCTTAATAGGCCCCTAAGCCTTATATGTTGGTTTATATCCTTATATGTGTGGTCAGGTTAACACTAATATCCCCAGTATCTTATGGATAAGAAAATCAAATGTACCTCAGGTCCAGCCCCATTCAGTTCCTCATATCCCCTCTCCACAGCTGTCCTAACAGTAGAATCAAGGGCAATATCCAGAAACAAAAGATCCTTCTGACGGTTGTTGGGTTGGGAAAGTAGTGGTCTAAGTTCTTCACGAGCCTCTAGCAAACCCTGAACATACAAGGTTTATATACAGAAATTGATCCACAGCTTCTAAACTCCATGACAGATTAAGGATATAAGGGAAGTTGTTGGCAAACCTCAAGAAGAGATTCCACATTTTTATCTTCGACATGCTCTAAGACAAATTGAAGCAGTTCCTGTTTTGAAAGTTCAACAAAAAAACTTGTAAGAAATCATTAGTTTTTAACAGACAGAGTTCTCAATCAATATGGCAGTGATAGCCGGTAAGATAATACCGGAAATCCTGAGGGCAAGCCTGCTACAGGATTTATCTGCAACCCAACCATGAAGCCTTCACCCTGAGGAGAATTAGAAGGTAGATTGGAGAAATAGATAATGAGAATATATCAAATTCTCCAGTAAATTTCAGAACAAGACTTTTACCTCTGCCTTGTATCCCATACAATTTGCAATGGCAGATTCAAGATCAGCACCTGAATGGACAGCCTGTGTAAACTTAAGGTTAGGCTAGTACCCCAAAGTCGGCCAATAAGAAAAATGATTATTATGTGAAATACATTTGTAAATAACAGAAAGAAATTCGAGCACAATTATCCAAGCCTCAGCAAATCGCAAATGAACAGACGAAAGGGAGTATATGCATCTGAGGAAGATTTAGTCTACATCATGCTTGATGCATGTAATAGAAACTCATACCATGATATTGGCTCAGGATTGTGTGATGATGGTTCACTTCTACACACAATTTAGTTAAGGAAAAAGTCCCAAAATAGGAGTAAAAATGTTTTGGAATTCCAAAATAGAACTGTCATTTTTTATTCCCTATAAAAAATACAGTCATGTTTAAAGTCTGGAAATGCCAAAACATGGCAGTAATTATTCCTATAATAAAAATATGACAGTCCTATTTTGGAATTCACAAACGTTGTTACTCCTAGTTAGGACAATTTCTTTTTAGTTAAACATTCAGCTTAAGTGGGAGAAGATGAGCAAAACTAATCAAACTAATTTTTTATTAGGACTTTTCCCACGAATGCGATACTAGAAATGTGTCAGGCCAGGACATAATCTATTCAGTAGAATTTTGAGAGCAAATAAAAATGATGAAATGTTTGTGCAAATGTATCAATGAGAATACATATGAATACATATGATTGCCACCCACCTTTAGTGTTCTCATATAATTCCCTAGATCCCGCAAAAGACCTTCTCTTTGATCTCTTCTAAAGTTTGGTTCAGAATGGATAGCACGATCATAACTCAAAAGCCTTTCTTTTGTGATTCCATTTGAATTCAGGGTTTGCCAATAAACACCAATATCAAAGTCACTCTTGATGTAATCAATTAGTGCCTGCAAGGAGAAAATCATCAGAATGGATAACAAAAGATAACTATATAGCACAATACGATCTCAATTCTTAATACCTGACAGATTACAACATCATCAGGGCTAGTGTTGTTATGCAGTTTCTGATGCCATTCCTCCATCATTCCACCTTTGCAGTCATTTTTCCGCTGCATTAAAAAGTTGTGAACATCATTTACATTGTACGGGAACTGATTAGGAAGATCAAGAGAATCAATTTACCTGGATAACCAGTATTTCATCCCGTATTCGCTGTCCAACATCCCCTTCACCTCCACGTCCGACAGTTGACAAGATCATGCGCAATAATTCACGGTACCGTGGATGGTTTATGTAAACATTCTGAAGTAAATCTGTCAGCCTGTCTTGAGCTTTACTGATCTCTCTGCACCATATCAGCCAGTAGCCCAGTAGTAAGTGAGGCCAAACCTAAGAGCCTACTACTTTACACTACTAGATTAGCAACAATGCAATAAATCTTCACCTATACAAATCCAAAAACTAACACACACGCGCATAAATTATACCGCGGCTTTACGTTGTAGTTTTTATTCCAGATAAGCTGCCTTGTAGCCATGAAGCGCATCCAAACAAGAATTCCTGCAAAAAAGAGCTCACCAGCATTTGTGGCTTCTTCTATCAAGTTGGCTGCAATATTAAACCTAAACCAAAAATAGAAACACATAGAAGATAATATTTTCAGAAATATGTGAGGATAAACCATTGAGCAAAATAATAAATTACGTTTTCATCAGATGGATAACTGCTAGACGACAAGTTCCTGAATAAATTCATTTTGATACTAAATGCCATTATTCACAAAACCAATCATCATCTTAATCCAAACTACGCTAAGGTCAGTGGTATGAAATCTATAAGGATACTACCAGTTCAAGCAAAGAAGACAGTGGAAAATGTAAACACCCACTGCCCTTCGTGTCACAACCTTCTAAGATTATATTCCAAAATCATCATCGGTTGTCTCAGCATTCATTGAAAATATTACGAGATAGTAATGGGGAGATAGTTAATATGGTCATGCCCCGTTACTCATTTTCATTTTCATTTACCCCAGTGCCGCAAAGGCTCCCACCTACGGTGGGGTAAGGGGGGGGTCGGATGTACACAGTCTTACCCCTGTACTAAAGCACAGAGAGACTGTTTCCGAATGACCCATAGTGAAAATCGCGTCCAAAATTGCATGGACTGACTGCTGCTCCATAACAAAGAAGCGCAGACAGTTTAGTGAGCCATTTTGCTTTATTCCATCATAATCTCAAGCCAAAAAATAATGAATCTTTGGCTCCATTGCAAATGATGGAAATAGGTCATGCCCCGTTACTGTAGTCACAAAACCAGTTCTATTTGTAAAAAATAAAGCAACTATTTGTTTATTGCTTTGTAGAAAAAACGAACATAATGGTAAAATCATTAATATAATTATTCAAAAACCAACTTAAAACAGTGTAATAATCCTCTAAACTGTCCTCAATTTCCAAGAAAGAGGAAAGAAAATAAGAGAACTGAAATAACAAAAATGCTCCACAGAAATTTTCAAAAGATACTGCCGGATACATCACCATTAGTAACATGGGATGATAATTGATGATGACATCCTAACTAAAAAAGCAACTTTCCTTATTAGAATAAATTAAAGAGGAAATAAATGCAATATATCCACCTGTGCATGAAAGACTTCTGCGCCTCATTTTCCATATCCGCTATTTTATCTAGCAATGACTTAGCTGTCCCCCTGCCGTCCCCAACATCCTAGACAAAGCAACAAAAAAACAGTTTCACAAAAGCAAAATCATATGAGACTGACAAGATAATTAGAGGACACAAGATACTTTTATTTACCTGATAGGGTTGAGTGCTAAAATCGACATAAAAGTCTGATCCGTTGTTTTTTATCCATTTCTCACCACACAAAAGAACAAAAGGCATACCCACAAAGTTCTTATCCTCAGTTGTAATTTCTAAAGATTGGACCTGCACAACTAGGATATACAAATGAGTATCTCTCGTAACCCTTATAACCATATGAGCTCAAATCACAATACGAGTTATGGTTCAGCATTGCTAAACTGAAACAAACCGAAGATAGCAATAAATGGTAATATGGTATACTTTATAAGACAGATTATCAGATGAACTGAATAGGAATTGTGTTTCAGCGTGTTTTTCAGAAACAGTTGATCCAGGAGGCAAGTCATTATCAGGCGGTGCCTGCAAAAATCCAAAAGGTGATTTGCATAAAGCTATGCATAACTTCTCAATAGTTCACCTTTTTGTTGGATTTGAAAACAAAAAAAGCCATGGGTAATAATATCACCATCTTACCAACCACTCCCCAGGTTTTCTGGATAATGCCCAATGCAGAATCACAGGCTCATTGAGATCTGTAGCCAGATAAACTTTCACCATACCGGAGGACTTTGTGACGAATACCTTCAGAGGTACAAGGGAACAAATGTTTCAGAACCAGAACACCATAGTTATTGTTAGAAGAGCTTAACCATATTAAGTGCTCAACTGCTCACCATGAGTTCACTGTTAAAAATCTTATATATTTTCTTGTTAAGGATAGGACCATCAACCTCTTTTTCCTTTGCTTTACCAAAAAGTTCAATCGATGATAATGTTTGGTCTTCTGGCAACATCTGTTGCAACTCAGAACTAGACTCAAATCCAGACTGAGAAGCATCTCTGTTGATAAGTTGATCTACATCTCTTGCCTTCCTCTGAATTTTTTCAATGGTGAAATAATTCTTTTTTTCCAGTTGCTTGGCAACCTTGGTTTTTATTTCTCCTTTTACAATCCTCTTCCGTAGTTCTTCTAGGGTTACGCCTTTTTCAAGTTCTAGTTGCAACTCTAGTCTTGCTTCTTCAAATTCTCTCTGTTAATCAGAGTATCAGACAATAGTTAAGGGTTCTGAAGTGTTTTTTCTGACTAAGCATAGCTTCACTATATGCATTAAAAAAATCAGGACGTACAAGTTGTTGCTCTGGAGGATAGCTTGGTTTCCCTGCTTTTTCCCATCGTATATAAGCTTGTATTTGTACAAGGTCATCAGGTAAATCACCCTTTTTTTCAGGTTTATGTGTCTCCTTGTGCTCAGCTGTATCATTCTTCTTGGTCAACCTTGCTCGAATTTCCTCTATGGAAGCACCCCTTGATATTTCCTCTAAAAGTTCTGTCCGTGCCGCCTCATACTCCTCCTTTAAACGTCATAGCATTGTTACAAATACATATGTACATGCATGTATAGATTAAAACCTTGATATGTCAAAGAACAATGAAGCTTTAACACTCTAAGGGTAGACAAAATATTAACTTTATAATAATTCTTAATAAGTTTCAACTTTGCAACTAGAGGTACTAGAGATTCATGATGTGCTGAAAATCCAATTCCAAATTACACAGTAAATTTGAGTCATATATGCATGCAACTGCATAACCTTGACTGGAAATCCTAATAGCTAAAAAGGGAAACTCTGCAAATTGATTGTGTGTATGATGATACGAACCACATTGAAGTAACCTAACCACATGTAATGTATGACACATATGTGCCTGTGCAATTAAAACACAAAATAAGTTTGGACGGAATCACTTCATGGAAATTAGGCATCCAGTTGCAACGCTGTTGCGCGTATATGCTACCAAAATCAGGCACGAAATACTACTTACTTTCTCTTTCTCAGGGGAATACATTTGTTTTCCCTTCCTCTCCCACCTCAAATATGCCTGAATCTGCACAAGATCTTCAGGAACTGTAGCATTAGTTATCTTTATTGCACTTGGAGATAACTTAATACGGAAGTTGCCACCATTGTTCTTTATCCTGATATATATAAGGCAAATTGGCAATAAAAGAGAGAGGGGGGAAATTATATATGGATGTTTGTGTTGACTAATACAGTAACTATTTTTTCTTTCAGAAAAAGGATCTGTGACCATACCATTTGTTTTGGGCTTCATTAAATACAAGGAACTCTATAGCCTCAATTGCAGGATCATCTATCTCCAGTCTCACCAAAGGGCCGGTACCAGACTAAAGGGAAAAAATTTTAAGTTAAAGTATACATCTCATTGAACTTCAGAAAAGCCTATAACCAGAGATATTACATAACCCAAAGAGGCAGTTTTATGGCCGTTGCAACTCACTTTCACAAAGGGAGTTCTAAGTGCCTTATTCTTATACTCTTGAGTTCCTTCTGGACGTCGGTCAGGAAGCATCCACTTTATACTAGTCATAGATTTAAAAAAAAAGGTAAAAAGTCATATCACAAAGTTTATCCATTTCCGACTTAATAGTATTGCTTACTCTTTTCCAGACTTTACAGCACCCCAGTGTAGAAATATTCCATTGATGTCCCTTGTAAGCTTAAAATCAATCACTCTGAGACTACCTGACGTGGGGGGCTTAACCCCAATCTGTTCATTGAGAAGCAGAGAAGGAAAAAGTAAATCTTATATACTCCATAATTGCTAATCCCCATTATATAGGACGACCAACCACAACAACTATCTTGTAACCACTGTAGGTACAATGTACCTGCAACTCAATATCCCCTTCAAGGTTGAATTTTTCAGCAATCTGCTAGAGAGCAAGAAAGAAAGAAACTGAGATACATTTTAAATGGTAATACTATTAACTACATAATAGACATTTCAACAAACATGGTCATGGATTTTCAACACAATGTGAATATAATCACAAAATAACCCACTGCATCATAGATTCATAATAATAAAAAATTGCAGGATCAAGAGATCTTTTGTAGTTGAATAGATTAAATGTAAAGGGAATGCTTAGAGCTACTCTGCAAATAAAGGGGTGGTATGAGAAAACATGTATCTAACCAACAAGAAAGGAATATGTCAATTCCAACTATATATACCTCAGACGAGGGATCAGTGACTAAGACAGCCCTAGTACCAGAAAAAACATGTGTTTGCATTGATAACCTCTTTTTCTGCACTGTCAGGCTTTCACCGTGAAACTCAGACGACAAAGACGCTTTGTGGGTGTGTGCTTTAGCATTCGATTGAAACAATGAACCACCCCGAACTGAAGAGGAGCTGATTCTACTTTGATGTTCGGGCACTGTTGGATGAAGAAATCTGTGACGCAACAAGTTATTCCCTATCGAATTGCTCATATTCCAGCCTCTTGGATATAACTGTCCCAATCCAAAAAAGAGAAATTTTCAAAAAATGGGACAAAAATCATAACACTATTCTACAAATAGCTGTTTTTTCCTTCATGAAGTAAGGCTCGTTCAATCCTAAGAAATGGATTATTGACCACTTCATTCTTTCTTTCGGACTAAGTGAATCCTACTCTAGCAGAGAACATGGCCTAATTCTTGCAAATGACTCATGATTTTACTTTTATTATGATTTGCAGCAGTTTATTAAATATGAATCAGCTTAGCAAGCAGAAATGCTCAACCGCTCAAGGACCAGTAAAAAGGTTTAAAACCAAAACACATGAATGAATCTCACTGTGCACACCACCACATGTATCATGTATGTATTTATATGCTTGAGAAATGGCAACATTCAAACAATCAAAGTCATGGTGCAATATATAAACCAAACCTTAAACGTGCAAGCTCAGACTGAGATCGGATTCCATTGGATTAATTACCTGAGAGTGAGGTAGAAGAGTGAAGATGGAAGGAAGTGCTTGGAGTAGAGGGTGAGAATGGAACGTGATTGGGAAGAGGAGATCGGGTATTTAAACAGCGAGAAATGGGTACGTGGCAGCTGACGTAGAACACTCACGCGCGAGAAGGTGCATGGGGTGGCTGGCTGACATTGATATGCGCGATATTTTCGGATGTGGACAAATAATTAGAGTAAACACGATCCATATGTCTGTCTTCTGCTTCTTACAAAGAATGGTTATTGCGAGCATCTAATCTTCACCTATCTTCGTTTTTGCAAGTTTAACAGTTTTATTGAGATAGCGGCTTTAGGTATTTGAATTACTGAATACCCTTACTAATTGATTTTAAGGACTTTCATGATTCAGATTGCTTATTTTATTACTCCCTCCGTCCTTCTAACAATGGGACAAGAGGCAATGACACGCAAATTAATAAAAATTAGTTTATGTGGTTGATATTGAATCGATAAAGTAAGAATAAAGTAAGAATGATTTAGAGTCATACAAACTTTACCAAATTTGGTATGGGTCAATCTTAGTGGGGAGGACCGATAAGGTAAAATGGGACAATCATAGCAGGACCAAACGGTAGTACTGCGTATTTACTTTCATTTGATTGTTAAACTGTTAGTCACTTAGAGCAGTAAGGCCCACGGACCAAGGGTTTATTAATACTTGATATATTGAAATTGTAATTTGTTGTTTTGATTGATTAAAGTATTGAATACTCATAATTTTTTATACGTGATTAAATATAGAGTATAAAATATGTATTTATGAACCATTAGCTTATTTAGTACCGATCATTACTTTCAAATAAATTGTACGTTTTGTGATGATGGAAAAGCGAAAACTTAATTTACTTTTTATAAACAAAAGGAATAAATTAAGGAAAGAATTATTAGTCATAAAATCGCTTGCGAGAAGTAATATGTAGGCTACTCTTGATTATAGAGATGTTCTTACGAATTTGGCTCTTCAAAAAGCTAAAAGAATAGACTACTAGAATATCATATACTTCTATTTTAGATCAATTTAGGACCATTGTCTTTGAAGAACATATTCATCACGTTAATAGTATACGATCCATTTCACGTTAATCGATGTTGCATTTGTTAATGCTATTTAGGATCGTTTTTTACCATGCACACAATTAATCAAGAGTCGTAGATTAAAAAAAAATTACACAAGTTCCATCACATTTATTTATTTATTTATTTATTTATTGTCCAAGAATTTATGTTGTTTTATTTCATATAAAATCTATTTATTTGTGGCGGCTTTCCGTAAACATGTTTAACCCAACAGTATTTTGAGAATTATTTTTAACCTAGCAGTATTTTGGGAATTATTATTTAACTAGCATTATTTCGGGAAAAACTCATATAATTATCAGAAACCACAAATCAGTTTATTGAAATGGAAAGAGATCAAGTTTTTGGGACATCTCAAAAAAGAAAGATTAACAAAGTTTTAATGGACGGAGGAGTACTAGTTATACTTTGGATTTTTTTATTTTTCCAATAACGGTTTCTTAGACACATTTTTTGTAAGAACTAAGAACCCAACCATTGACAAAAGAATAAAAACTGAACCATTAACAATTTATAATGTGTAGCAAACTAAGAGCATCTTTAGTGGGAGTGTGGATTGATAAAAATGCATTGCCACATCAGCAAATTTGACGGCAAAGTTCAAATATACTCTCCAACGGCTGAGTTGGACTAAACAACTGGGGTAGCTTTTTGGTGCCTCCTGGTTACGGAACGTTTTGGTGCAACATACGTAACTACATATGGCCAGATCCTATTGGAGATATATTACACGTAAGCCATTTCATTAAAAAATTTAAATATTGCATTTTGAACCTTACGAAATTAAAAAATTCTAAAAGTCCTATTCACCTGCCCAGAACTCCGGCCATTCCTATCGCCGCTATTTCATTTTCCGTCTTCCTTCTAATAGGAAAACATGCCAGATTACAAATCCAAACCAAAATCTCCGACGATGTGTGTCAAGCTTCAGGTTTCTTTCAAATTGCAGATTCGCGGACTACACTTCTAGCCTTCCAGGTTGGTTGAATTTAAACCTAAACCTCCAGACGTTTCACTTTTCTGCTACTTTATTGATACTCAAGTGAAAACAGGATAATCCCTACCCTGTTCTTAATATTAACCATCAGCTCTGATTTTTTTCGTATTAGAATTTTCCTATTATGGCTTTGTGGGAATGCAATCGAGATGTTAGCAACTTAGTTTTTTTCACATTAGTTCGCTATGGCAAATTTGTTTCCAACTTGGACTTTTTATGATCTTACTATTGTGATTGTATTTTTTTCCCGATGATATACACATCTCTGAATATGCTTTTCCTTTAGGGATGTTAGTCATGTTACTTAGATATATTTTAGATTTCCACCTCCCCCCTACTGCAAATTTTTTAGATGGAAAATGCTCTACTTGGCACTGCTGTAAAGTAGAATCAAATGACATAATGAACTTGTAATTCATAGGTGTATTTGGAAAGATTGAGGGGGAGGATAATAGAGTGATTGAAAAGGAAGAAGGCTTCCTTCCTCCTCTTTTACGAAAACAATCTAGATCAGAAATCATGTCTAGAAAAAACCGGCCAAAGGTGATTGTGGAATAACTTTATTTTTGGTCAGTTTCAGAATTGTTAGGCGTTGGAAAATAGCTCACACTCAAAGCCAGGTTAAAGAAACTGGCCGCTCAGTCCAATCATCTCCTTCACTGATAAAACTGTCACCAAGTGAGGTTTCCTTTTCTTAAATGTTTTGCGTTTACTCCAGATGAAATCCTTACATATTGCAATAATTATTGATCTAATTTGTTTGTTAGATATTTTAGCCCTAATTTTCATTTCTGATTGTGAATTTATTTGTTGTCAATCTAATGGAACTGCATATTGCCTTTTGAGTTAAAAAATTGGGTTTGTTTCAAATGGTGAGATTGTTCCTATTAGTTTCTTGTTACAAGGTTGGTATTTTAATATCAATCTGCACATCATGAAGCATGGTCATTCAAGAACCCAAAACATTATTTATGGAGTAAAGAAAGAACTTTTAGGAAGCATTGATGTTTCTGAACTTTGTACAAAGAATTCTTTGAACAAGAAGTAAATGACTACAAAATAAATTCAATTTTATATGACCTTGTTGAGATTTGATGGACCACACATTCATGGTGGTGAGTTCATATAAACTTTCTTCATAGGCGTGTTGTTTGTTATGAAAAAAACCAATATCCCGGTCTTTGATAACGCATGAAGGAATGCTAGTGACCTTTTACTAGTGACGTCTTAATTTGACCACTACTACAAAAAGGATCTTTTAACGTCGGTTAATTTGACCTTTTAACGTCGGTTTTACTAGTGACGTCTAAGTGGGAGACGTGAAATGTGAGGACATTTGACGTCGGTTTGAAAACAGACGTTAAAAGGTATTCCAAAGAAAAAAAAGAAAATCCTACTACGACGGTTATTACTAGTAACCGACGTCAAAAGTACTGAAATTTTTCGATAACACCTACCTCGACAGTTTATTTGAAAAACCAACGTAAAAAGGCTTTTCCAAGAATATGAAATTAGATATCACATCAGTTGTAATAAAAACCGCCGTTATATATATGCAAATTAAAAAAAAAATTGAATGTCTGCATGTTACATGTAAATACATTTTATTCAATATGATACCAGGCTCCGTAGCTCAACATACAAAATAGTGCATAAAGTAACAATCTCTCAACAACAGAACCAAGCTTATCATCGTAAATTATCTATACATATGGAAATGCTAAAACTTTTGAAATATACACAATAAAAAACGCTCAATCGTGAGCACGTACGGGGAGATATAGAATGATAAAAAAGATTAAACAAATCAATTTCATTGGTGGGCTCATTGTCTCAGAAACAGCACCAATACTCTTCATTCTTCAGTGCAACAAAATCTAGCCTACAAGAACCAATTTAAATTCTTATGAAGGAATTCAAGTACAGCAATAAACGAATTATGCTACCAAGGGGGTTGTTAGAATCTTGTACGGAGTATATATATACCAAAAAAATCATGTGCATACTAAAACAACTAAGGCCATTCAAAACCAGCATTTAGTGTTGGAATAAAAAGAAAGCAAGTAATAATGGCATTGAACAGAACAATCATCTAGCCTGGGATTAGTGATTGAGTTAAGTAGGTACATAAAAGTTTACAACAACATCCAAGCCTTACTCCCAAACAGTTTAATTGAAAAAATTGTAAGCCGTTATGTTAATATGTGTTGAAATCATCTAGCAGGTACATAAAAGTTTATATGAAGAAAATGCAAGTCATGATATTAAGATGTGTTGAAATCATCTAGCAGAACAATCACCTAGCAGGTACAGAAAAGTTTAAATATAAAAACTGTAACTCATGAGTTTAAGATGTGTAAACACAAATAAAGTGCAACAAGTTATTTAGTTCCTTACCTGATAAACAACTATTTAACGGCTCTACGACCTTTTATGTCCACGGTCCAAGTTAATAATCAAGAAATGCATAAAAAGACCCACTACTAAACATGCTAATTCAGGAGCTGTGAAGCCTACCCACATGGAACACAACCATCATAGTTTTGTGTAGGACTTGCAATAAGTACATTCACTCTTATTTGTTTCATTCAAGTTGATTCAAATTATTTATAGCACAACCTTACACTGGGGTAAACATAAACAATGTAATAAGTAGACTCTTAATATATACTAGGATACTTTCACTGCCTGCAAAAAAAAACCTGAAATTAATATACATGAATTATATATATTATGTATGTCACTAATTCTAATTCAATACAAATATATGAAAACCAAAACTAATTAAGAGAAATATATCTCTAATTCCAATCATATATAGAACATCAAAGTTATTACCAATTAATATCAATTCATGAAAAAAGGAAAATACTTAAATGTTTATTTGCCTCCTACCTTAGAGAGTAACACACTAACACAAACTGAAATGTTTGAATCGTACCACCTATAATCCTAAAAAAATATTCCAAGGAAACAGGTGAAATGAAAAAGACACGTCTATTATCATTCATATTTCCTCCCTTAATTAAATGCTAATCTACCTAGAAAGTTTACTTAAATGGATTTTTTTTGTTAATTTTAGAAATTTTTTACTCAAACGGAAGCAGATATTAATTGCCTGCTAATCTGCTCAGAAAAATAAAGTTAGAATTCAGGTCAGGAATATAATGTGTGCTAATTGATGAATTGGATATTAAA